GTATGAATTTAAAATTATATTTTAATGAAAATTTATTAACTCGACTATACCTCTGGACGATCAAATAAAATTTTAAATTAATGATGTGTTGAAGATTTTTTGAGACACTGAACATTTTTCTTATAAACTCTTCCTTATAATGTTATTAGGTTTTAAAAATTTTAAATTTCAATATTAAACGTCACGCAGTCATCTGTCTTTTCTTACTACAAGTGAACAACATTCATATTAACTTTGTATGGGTAAAATTGGTGCCATGTCATTTAGATACTAAGAACGTCTTATCAACTATCGTTATTTAAAAAATATATGTGGGAAAACGATATTTTTATCATTGCTTTATTCATACAGGCTCTAAAAAGCCCAAATAGAACGTCAAAAATTGCGACATGAATAAACTATTGATTTATATGGCATGTTAAAGCAGGAATCAATGGTCAGGTAATCAGGAATGAACAAAGCATTAAAACAGATGTCATAAAAATTTATGAAATAATTGCAAATCAAATTAAAAAAGGATCCTCGACAATGGATTGTTTTTTTATAGGTCTGTATGTGCGAGATTTCTGAATCTTTTATTTTTGATGTTCCAAGATTCAGAATGATTTCATTCTGCATTTAGCTTCACATTCCAACATCAAACTTAATTCACTTTTCATCGTATAATTATATGAAAATCCTTTAGAAAATTTTATTATCATAGACTTGAGGACAAACTTTAATTTTAGATTCAGTTTAAAATTCAATATTTAACATTTAAATAAGCAAACAACAGCGTTGATTCAAGCTCACAAAATTTTAATTGAAATTGTTTCCGTTAGGTCATTCAAATATTTAAGTGATTTGATTAGATACGTTAGGATAAAGCTGTGGGAAGTTCTTTGCGAAACACACTTTGAAATGGCAAAAACGGGGCCATATGTGACAATCTACTTCTCTTCTCGCTTGTTTTTTAAATACCTTATGCAATGCAAAATTGCACTTTTTTTAATATGATACAGTCTAGTCTGTAAATGATGAGGGTTGAAATGAATGCTGGTTCATCCTATGGAAAGACTTGTTGGATTCTAATGAGTCGCACTGATCTTTTATTCACTTTCATTTCCTCCAAATTTCATTTAAATTAATTCAAATTTATCTTTCAAGTAGCAATTTTGTCTTTCAAAAGAAACACTTGTCTTAATATTCATATAAACTATTTGTCTTATCTTTGAAATTCGAAGTTACTGAGAAATTGTTTTTAAAATACATTTTAGCGAAGCATCTGCAAAAGAAAACGTGTCGATTTGAATGCATGAAGTGGTGTTCAAGGAGACTTGTCAAAATGTCAATTTTTTTAAAATATTTTTTCAGACTAATGATCAAATAGAAACCATAAGCTGACAATATAAAAAAATTATCTGAATTAAATTTCTCAATTTAAGCCTCAATTAAATATTCATTTGAATCATCTTAGCTATAGACAATCTCAGATTTTTTTGAAGAATTTTGAATTTAAAATCAAAACGAATCGGAATGTCTTGAATGACATTGTTCCATGATTCTGTCAGGGCAAGTTTAATACCACGATTTATATGCTTGAAACTAAATTTAAATATTTTACTGCATTCACATTAACAGATTCTGGGTCATCAGATACTGGCCGCAATTTAACTCACTCACAACAACAATTTAATGATAACAAAATTACGCACATTGATGAAACGACGAATTTTTTTTTTGCATTTTTAGAACTTGTATTTTTTGAAATTTAAATCTTAATTAATAAGCAATGCTCAACTCTCATAAATTTCACTGTTTCATCTCATTTCATACTCTCATGTTAAGATCTCATTTTAAAGTCATCACTTAAGGTCAAGATTAATTCACAGCCAGAATACTTGGAGCCCTTCTTCAAAAACAAAAACATCAAAAAGATTTTTAATCTCCTGAAAATGTATAAAAATGTTCATTAAATCTTTAATTTAATCAGTTGTCAGTTGAGTTTACGCAGAATCAGTTGAAATGTGGTAAATTGAGTCATTCAATGATGTAATGTAACTAATATAATAAATATTTAATTGTCTCAGCAAAATATTGTCATTGCTCGGTTATTTGCTGATTGTTTTAAGTGTCACATCTGTTTTGGGAGATGAAAATTTAACATGCAAAATAGGAGAAACATTTTGGACAACGTGTACATTAAATGGACCGATACTTGAGAAAGGAAGAACAATAAATCCTGTACGAAGTGAAGTTTACGGGTTAATCATTAGAAACGACGAAAGCGTAAAATATTTGCCTGATAACGTTTCATCAGTTTTTCCTAAATTAACAAGTTACGAAGTCAAAAGATGTTCAATCGCTGACATTCATAAATCGAATTTCAATGGATTATCGAATTTATTAACACTAAGTTTAATGTACAATCAAATAGAAAGGATCGAAGCCGATGTTTTCGACGATTTAGTTGAATTGGAAACTTTGAACCTAGGTTAACAATATGAATTCGTCTAATGAAAATATTTTAAATGTTTTAATATTTATTCTTGACAGTTGGCAACAAAATTAAGCACATTGATGTGGGTGCTTTTAAGAATTTGAAGGAACTAAAAAATTTATTTTTGGATTATAATCAATTGGAGGAATTGAATGATGAATTATTCAGAAATCTGACTTCATTGTATGTCCTCAGTTTAGGTGATTCGCTCTTTCTACATATCATGAAACATAATTTTAATAATTTTAAGATTTCTCTCCAGGATTCAACTCAATGAAATCAATCAACATTTCATTCGATGGACTAAAAACATTGAACCATTTGGATTTAATGGGAAATCAGTTGGAAAAGTTGGAAAATGACTGGTTCAAAAACTTGGAGTCATTGAAATATTTGACTCTCTGTGAGTTTTGAATAATGCTCTACGAAACATAAATCAAATTAAAATTTCTTTCAACAGCATCTAATTTAATAACGGAAGTTGATGAAAATGCCTTCACTGGATTGAGTAATTTATACTCATTGGATTTAAGTCACAATCAGTTGGTGGGAGGAATGGATCACGCTATGTTTAAAACTTTATCTCACTTGCATATGTTGGAAATGAGTAAGTCAGTGGTTCTGCTACGAGTCTATTTTACTGCTACATATTAATATTGAAATTATAAATTAAATATTTATAAATAATCTGACTTCTATTTTCACAGCAAACAACTCAATTAAACATATTAACGCGAGTGCTTTTAATGGAATTGGCGACTTAAAAAGTTTGATTTTAGATCACAACCAAATAGAAAAGTTGGATCATGTTGTGTTAACACAATTGACAAATTTAACTTATCTTTATATGGGTGAATTTGAAGTTAAATCATTTAAGATTTAATCATTTAATAAATTCTCTCCGATCATTACAGCAAACAATTCTATTACTGATGTCGATGCCAAATTTTTCGCCGAACGGTCGAAATTCTTCCCCAACCTTAAGGATGTTGATTTAACATCAAATATTTCTATTAACAAAATGTTTGTCCTAGAAGATTTAATATCATTGGAAGGACTCATAAAATGCAGATGTGAGAAAATTGCAGACTCGAATGATGTTTCAATTGATGAATGTCAGATTAATGAATTCAAAGAGGAAATGTTGGCAAAATTTTCCGAGTTAGAGAAAAAGCTACATTTTTGTCGTTCTACAATTTAAATTGATAACTGAAATGCTTTTTTTTTGGTTTATACGCTGATTGATAAATAAAATGCACGAATAAAACACTGAACACTTTTATGATAACTTTTGCGTAACTTATAGTAAAGTTTAACTATTAAAATATTTCAAAATGTCCACCACGACGTGGATCAACAGCAGCATCGAGTTTTCCATTTCTTCTTGTGATTGCAACTATGGCTGCAAAACCAGTAATAGTTGGAGATTGTGGATACATTACATGTCCTTTAGACTCTAAAAATTTAACTATTTCCGAGTCTAATGCCTCTTCATACTGAATGCGCATTGGTTGAAGTTGATGATGTAGTCGCTCTAGTTCAATTGCCTGCTGCGCTGACTGTTGTAAATACAAATTATAAATTATAAACTGTGTCACAGAAGGCATTATAAGAATTCCGCCAGCCCCTCCAACAACCATTGTCACTTCTTTATTATCATTCACAATGATAGTCGGAGACATTGATGACATTGGACTTTTCTTTGGTGCAATGTAATTTCCTGGTGCTGGAAGTAAACCGTCAGAAACTGCAGTTGGTATGGAGAAGTCGTTCATCTCATTGTTATAAATCATTCCAGTACTCTCAGACACAACATAAGAACCAAAACTTTACATACATTAAATTTGTTATTTGTTTTATCAATAATAAAGTAGAATGTAACTCACATTGAATTTATTGTTGTCGTTATTGCCACAGCATCTCCATTAGGTGCTAGAATGGATATGTGCGAAGTTCCATGATCTTCAATAACTGAATAATTCGCTCCGTAATGTTCATAATCGTTGAAAGTTTTCTCGTCGTCTATAAGACTGCGAATGTATTCAGCATGTTCAATGCTCTGCAATTCATCTAATGTCGAGAGAACTTCTGCTGACATTTCATCACCAAGTTTTGTCCGCTTGCCAAATGCGAATTTCAAAGCTTCAACCAAGCGATGGTAGAAAAGTTTATTCTCGTTGTGATACTCGAGAGTGTTGTCTTGAAAATTGAATCCTTGGAGGACATTAAGAATAAATGCGACAATAGAACCCGATCCAGGAAGTGGAAATGAGTAAATTGTGTCTTCATTGAATAGTTTACTGATCACTGGTTTTCCCCATTTTGGTTCAAACGTTAACAAATCTTCCATTGTGATGATTCCACCTTCGTCTTGAATTTCTTTCACAATGTTTTGAGCCAACGAACCATTTCCATAGATTGCGTCAGCACCTTCTTCAGCGATTACTTTGAGGGTGTTTGCAAGCTTTGGATTTTTAATCAATTCGCCTTCTTTGTACAATTCTCCAGTTAAAGGATCGACGAAAACTTCTCTAAAAGTGAAATAAACATTTCAATAAATTCAATTGAAAAATAATCGTTTGGAGATTCTTTTAATACTTCAAACCCGGATAATTCTTAATCTTATCGCCACGATCCTCAAAAATTGACGACATATAATTAGCTACTTTATAACCACTTTCCGCCACTTTAATCACTGGTTCAACGACTTCTTTCCACGGTAATTTTCCATATTTCTTGTGAAGTTCAAAAAGTCCTTTAAGTTCACCTGGCACAGCAATCGCAAGTCCACCTTCTCTACTTGACCCTCCATCACTGTACATGTCTTTAGTTGCAGCTAAAGGTGCAACTTCCCTTGAATTTAATGTTTCAATAACGCCAGTTTCCTTAATATAAACTTGGGCGATGAATCCACCTCCTAATCCACTGCTTTGTGGCACAGTGACACCTTCAAGTATTTAACTTTTTGTTTTATTTTCATAAGTTTTTTTTTTTCCTTTTACCTTGACATAATGTAGCTGTTATTGCACTATCAACAGCAGATCCACCGTTTTGCAATATCTCAACAGCAACTTTTGTACATTCTTCAGTACCGGTTGCTACAGCACCTTTTCCCGATATCTCTTCCGAAGATGAAGTTATTAAAAAGAAAATTCCTACTACTAAACCTCCGAGAACTGCAATGATTAGAAGGGAAATCAGAACTACTATAAATCTCTTCATGTTTTCGCAACGAGTTCACTTTAAAGATTAAATAAATATTTAATATTTGACATTCGTAGAATCTTATTCAAGTGGATTGTTGGGTTTATCTTGACAATAAATCAATAAATTAGCAATTAACAAATAGATAAGTTGGTGCAAGTGGATTCGGTTTTGTGCTTCATTAATTACGTCAGAGATTACAGTTCAAGTGCTTTTTTAAGAATCATTTATAAATTATAAACATAATCTGAAATAAAACCAGATTATGAAAGTAAGAAACAAAGTAGATAATTTGTTCAACTATTTTTTATTAAATATTTTGTAATGTCTTGAAAAGTCGGCCGTAATTATGATGGATAAGTATCAGACTACTGGATAAATAGTTAATTGTTATCCCGCCACGTTGCAGCGTGACTGTTCGACATCTTGCTCCGATAATGACTGAATTTTCACTCACACCAATACACTACATATTTTAAGACCAAATTTTTTTTATCTGTTTTCATTCCAATGTCATCAACACATCGTAACGAATCCATCAAATGATACTTCATGTTTTGATAACCATTGAAGGAATTGATATCACAGGCTTTGGTCCGTTTTTCGGACACATTGATGACACGTTAGCTTCCATTAGTGTTTTGTCCGAATGAAGTTTCTTGTCAAACTGACAAAGAAATTGATTTTTTTTTGCTTTTTTTGTCTTATCACAATCAGCTCATCGATCACTTAAACATTTTTTAACATGCTTCGAAACATTTTTATGATTAGATATTAAGATAACTTATTAATATCGATGGTGTAATTGAAAATTTCAGTTATTTTCACGTAATAGAAATTTAATTTAAAATCATAATTTGAAACTTCTTTAAAATTTTAGAAAAGTTTGTTTTGAATATTTATGAAATTTTATACAGCAGAGAATGTTTCGATGAGTGACGATCATAAGAGTCGTTATTAGCCATGGCCCTTATTTTTCAATAGAATGCATTAGGTTGAATTTATTGATACGCTTGAGAACATATAAAAAGCTTCACTTTCCCTCTGGTTTCTCTTCCAATATTTCAACTGAAAAATAGAATAAAAGTAGCTTGCCAGGAATATTTAGACAAACTTGAGAATTTCTCTCATTTCCATTGATCATTTATCAAATCTGATTAAAATAAAAACAAAATGAATTTTAAATTAATGCGAAAAAAGTTGTTTTATTGAATTTAAAGTTATTGTTTGACATCATCAAAAATTTATCCGTGTTGTGTCCATGAATGAAAAGCCATGTGGAAGTTGAAATAAATATTTAGCAGCAGCTGAATGCATCCAAACAATTTCCAGGACAGATTTCTTCCTTGCCGCATCCTTGGCCAGCACATCCCCAATTTCCCCAGAAGAACGGATTCATTTTGATTGACTTAGTTTTTTTGATTACTTTACGAAATGAAAGTTAAAACTTTGTGTGATTTTATGAAGACAATTCCTGGCTTTTATATCATTTGAAAATTCTTTTTACTTATCTTTCATTCCTTTTTATCGATTAGAATTGGATTCATTTTAATTCAATAGAACTGAAATCTTCAATCAATCGCTCATGCCGATCAATCACTTTGAAACTTTTTTTAAGAATAAAACAATTGAATTTGTTGTTGCTTAATGACTTTGTTAGATTCATATTCATTTTATTGTGCATAAAAAGATATTTGTGAAACAACAGTGCATAAGTATAGAATTTTGATTTTAATAACAGCAGGAAATCAGTTCCGGGTCGTCATTTATCATTAAAATTTCAGCTTGGGCTGGTGAAATTAACATCCGCATCCTCCGCCTCCCATTCCACCTGCATTAATAAAAAAGGAAGTAAAGAAATAAAAGTAAAGAAATAAATAAACAAGATTTACCGCCCATGCCGCCCATGCCGCCCCAGCCGCCCATACCTCCCATACCTAAAATTGTCATGAAAATTAATCAAAATTATTGTGCAATAAAGTAAGGCAAATTATGAAAAATTACTGACCTGGCATTCCCCACATGAATGGATTCATTTTTGATTCTTTAAGTGTTTTTTAAGCTTTCGTAGAAATGAAAATTCGAACTGAATTACTCGCTTCTTCTCAATCACCGCTTTTATAGTGAAAATTTATTTTTTTTTTTGACAGCGGAACATAATTGATTAGCTACCGTGAAAATGAATTGAGTTATGTCAACATTCTTAAAGAGACAAAAAAATGGACAAATTGCTTTTATCACATTATTTGAAACATTATCAATATTCGTACATGACTTCTGTTGTTTACTTATCTGCGATGAAATGTTAACATTTTCGCACTTCTTTTTAAAATGTTTTACAAGATGTTTGATTTTTTCCAAATCATTTTATGATGAATGAAATTGAAGACTTTGACACACTTTGCCGCACTTTGAAAAGTCAGCATATCAATATTTACTCTAGTCGTGTGATTAATGAAAGCAAATTAATTTAAATGTTAATCAATCTGCCCAACTTACATAATTTATTGTTCTATTTCCAATTACCATAAAAAACAAATTTATATTTGCTAGAAATTTGAAGAATTTTCTTTATTCAGTTCTCAAATGAGCTTTGAATTAATTACACATTAAAATTGTCAAACTAAACATGAGCGATACTTTTAATCCATGGTCTGACAGATGATACCTAACCAAAAGCAATAAAAAACTGTTGATCAACTCAATTTCTTTAAGAATAAGTATTAATGAATATTTACCCTCGAATAAACGCCAGCATATTCCACATTTGCACATCCAAGCCCAAATGAAACAACTCCAATTAACTTTCCATCACTTAGACGTTGAAGTGGACCACCAGAATCACCTTGGCACGAATCTTTTCCATCAACTCTGTCGGGATGAATTGCACAAACTTTGTTATGTTCAACTTCGAGTCCATATACTTTATATGCTTCTTTACATTCATCATAACTTATAATCATGAGATCAACTCCTCGTAAGTAATCTGAAGATTCCAATGGATTCATCGTATTGCCCCACCCTAAAGCTCTTGCATATTCGCCCGCAGGTGTTTCATCATCTTCATCAGGTAACATGATTGCTTTTCGATTTTCATTGTAAAACATTTTTCCAAAGATCTTTAGCAAAGCAAAATCGTAGTCAAAATTGATTTCCTTATATTGTGGATGATTGTAAATGTGAGAAACATAATTAATGTCACCATTTCCTTTGTGGCTAGAACCTGATTGAATTGTCAATTCTTTAGGTTTGCTTGATATTGTACAATGTGCCGCCTTGTTAAGGAAAAGAAGATTAAATGTTTAATTCAGTCTTGTGAGTATTTAAATTGACTCACTGTTAAAATAAAGTTTTTTGAGATTATACTTCCTCCACAGAGATGTCTTCCGTTTGACATAAGAGCGACAATAAACGGTGCATTTTTTATTTCCACCTCCTTTCCACCTACAATTTTTGTATCCTCTGCGAGGAATTCAGAAATATGTTCAGCAATTATCCCAAGGATAACAAAAACCAAAACTTTCAACATTTTTCTTGAACTGTAAACTTAAACTGTGTTTTAATTTTGTTAGAATTTTTCTTATATAAAGCCTTTGGCTAATGAAATGCAAACAAAAATTCTTCATTATCACTGTTTGTTGAAAAAAAATTTCGTAACTTGACATTACTTTTCGAAAGGAAATTTCAAGAGTTGTCAAACATATCCAAAGTCATGACAGAACATTTGTAACCTTTCACGTTCATTCTACTGATAGTTTTTCGGCGTATTTAAAAGGTTAAATATTATACTGTGAGAAGTGACATTCGTTTAAAATTGAAGTTCATGAACTATTCATGAATCTATGCAAAAAAGTTTGTCAAACTCATCAAAAGTATATGGAGGGTCTATTTTATCAATGAAAAGGTTTTAATGGAATATTTATTTCAGACTCAACAATCCTCGATCAAAAGATGAGATTTTTTGTTTCATCTTCAATAAAAGTAAACAAAAACTTATTTTGAATATTTTCTTAATGTGCCAAGTATACTGCTGCCATCTATTGTTGAACTCGCATACTTTCCCAATGTTTTCGTTCAATGTTTTCTCAAATATTTACAAAACGAAAAAATCAAACTTACTAAAATTTTCTTAAAATGAGTGAAAAGTCGGAAAATCCATATGATATGGATAGTGCAAGTTTCGATGCTGATAAATATTTACAAAAACTGTTAAAGGTTGTGTTAATTGTCTTTAGAAAACGTTAATTCTCGAAAATTCAACTTTTCTTATTTTTTCCAGACTTGCAATTTAAAGCAAATTATGGATACAGAAGCAATGATTGTAAAGGAGACACAAACTCTTCACAGTGAAATGCAGACGCTTGTGTATGAAAACTATAATAAATTCATTTCAGCTACTGAAACCATCCGTCAGATGAAAACTGATTTCAAAGAAATGGAGAATGAAATGAAGAAACTTGCTGACAACATGGCAGAAATTACTCAATCATCTGACCAAATAACTGGAACTCTTCACGATACACGATGTCAATTGACGAAATTGTCAGAGAAAAATGCTCTTCTCAAACGTCTCTCAGCCATCTCTTCACTTCCCGGTAAATTAACACAACTTGTTGCCGACAAAAATTATGTGCAAGCTGTTCAAGAATACAATCGAGCACAGAGAATTCTACAACAATACGGAAATCAACCAACTTTCAAAGGCATTCAAGAAGATTGTTCGAAAATCATGAGTGATCTCAAAACAATTCTAAAACAAGATTTCCAAAAAGAAGGCAAGAAAACGGCGCAACTGACTGAGACTGGCGAACTTCTACTGCAATTGAATGAAAAACCTTCTGATCTTTCCAAAGAAATGTTACAATTTGGATCACAACGCTTGCATGAACAACTGATACAACTTCAGGATCAAACAGATCGTGACATGATTGAATTTGTTGACATGGGCATTGAAGGATTCTTAAGTGATTTGATTCTCATCACCACATCATTCTATGACATGTTCGTTCAAAAACATTTTGAGAATGAAGATGATAGTTTTCAGGAATTAGCAAGAGGAAACCTCAATGATTTTGTCAATAAATATCTAAACGAATATTTAAATTTAGTGCAAGAACGAGTTGAGAATGAAACTGGCGACTCTCAAATATTATTGCGGGCACTTGATCGACTTCACCGACGATTATGTGCAATGAAGAATCTTGGACGTGGTATTGACATGCCCAAGACTGGCATTGATCTCATCATACATTCCATTCATCAATTATGTCAATCTCATTATAAAATTCTAAAAGATTCCTTTAGTGATAGTTTAAGTTCCATTCGACTGACATTGGTGACATTTAAAAACGATGGGATGTGTGGGAGTCTTAACGAGCTCATTGATACGCTCTACGTGAATACAATTGAGAAAGTAAAAGGCGTACTTCAAGATCTTCTCGTTTTTCTCAATCCAGAATGGTCATTCAATATCAAAGCTGAACACAAAGGCGTCGCATGTATCGAAGGAATTCGTGAAAATCTTCTTGTTTCATTTCTACGTCATATTGCTAGTGTCATGACATCATTCTCTGATATAAATTCATCATGTCCAGCAAATCTTCTTCTCGTTCTATCGAAAGTTTGTCTTCGACTAGAGAAAGTTGGCGTTCAATCACTTTTAAATCTTGTCGATGAACTTTACGAAATTGATTCGGTGAATTCAGCTGAGTTGACACATGAAACTGAATTGAATTCGGAGCTTCATGACTCTGCACAAATTCTTCTTGAAGCCTATGTGAGAGTTCAAGGAATGAATGTTTCTCAGATATTACGGAAAAGTGTTGAGACAAGAGATTGGATAAATTGTTTAGAGCCAAGATCGGTTCGTGCTGTTATGAAGAGAATTGTTGATGAACTGACTAATATTGACGGGACTTTGGATGAATTATTTGAATCTGGAGGTAATTTTGTCGCATTAAATCATGATTAATTATGCTATAAATTATGTTCCTTGTTACAGTAAGAACAACAGCAAGCAGCGATTCAAGCAGAAAAACCCATTTGAGTATGTCGATGCAAGGTGGTAAGACACAATACCGTTCCACATGGTCAAATTACACTTCATCGTCGCAACTTGACACGAATCTTGTTCATCGATTGTTTTCGGAACGTCTTGACATTTTCAGTTCAGCTATTGAATTCTCAAAGACATCAATTCTAAGCGGAATAATAAAAATTAGTTTAAAAACATTCCTTGAGTGCGTGAGACTTAAAACATTCAGCAAGTATGGTTTGCAGCAAATTCAAGTTGACGCGCATTATCTACAGATGAACTTGTGGAGATTTGTTTCGGATGAGAAGTAAGAAGAGTTCTACAATTTATTTAAGGTTTTTGCAAATCATTGAGTCTTTATTTCTTCTTGTTCTTTTTCTAGTGTTATTCATTATCTTCTCGACGACATTCTTGGATCAGCTGTCATCAGATGTCAAGAAAAAGCTGGAATGTTAATGGAACCTAATGCTGTTGAAATAATTTGTGAAAGATTTTAAAAAACTTCGTGATTTAAACTCTTTTATAATTTTATTCATCAATCTTTTTGTTATCATTTACATTTGCAATAAACTTTGTGACGTCGGCAAAAAATGATCTTTTTGTTTGATTTGTCAAATAAACTAACAATTTGTGGTATTTAATATGTGAAAAAAAGGTGAATACATTTTTATGTGCACAGTTGGGGGAGTTTGCAAAAGTTTTGTCACGGGATAAATTTATATTAAAACTTTAGATAACTTTTGCCATTCATTTGTTTGTTTAACATCAAAGCATAATTCATCAAAAATCTACTTGCTTAGCTTTTGTTTCTCTAAGACAAACTTTACAAAGTTATGATTTTAATGGCTATTTGGTAAACATCATTTGTTGATAAAATTATCTTTTTATAATTATTTATTCTCAAACTTCTTGTGACGTAACAATTGATCTCGCTGAATAAAATACATAAAATGTACAAATATGGCAAATTGTAAGTGAACGTCAATAAATAATCTGTCTATAGTTTTAGCTTCTGAAAATCTTTAGAAAATTCTTGAGATCTCCACTTGAAATTAAAAGTTAATTAAATTCAAGAATATTCTTACAAATTGTTTTGTCGAAAGTTTTATTTTCATTTTAATAATCACTGAACCACCAGGAGTGCAGTAGTTAAGGCATATTAAGTCATAACTTCAGTAGTAACTCAATTAATCATTTATCAAACTTCTAGAAAAATATCTTCATTGTTAGGCCAATTCGTTCAGCCTCAACTCATCACTGCACTCATACGTGACTCTCACATTCATTTACTTTTTTTATTTTTGTGTTATATGCTCATAAGTTAATAAGTGAGACGACATCATTAGTAAAAGGGAATTTAATAAGAGTCAATAATTGATCTGGTTTAGTGGGAAGACCACATTTGTCAGGAAAACTAAACGACTCTTGAAGAGAATTACTTTGAAATAGCTTATTCCAGTGAATTAAATTTTTAAGAGAAAATTTATAAGTTTTATCACACCAAGTACGCATTTAAGGTTTCTTGTTAGAAGAAAAGGGGAAAAATCTATTAAAAATTGTTATTATTAGTCAGCAGAGTAATAAAATGTGAAAAAATTTATTTAAATATTTCAAATTAAATAATTATGAATAAATTAATTCTTCGATACATCAAGACAAAGGCTTTCCCAGGCATTTTTCATTAATTGAAAAAGAAAATTAGGAATTTAAATGTTGCTTCATTCTAAATATTTTTCAAGTCTATCAAGAACCAAACTCAACATTACTAAGTAAGAGATTTTTTTTTCTGGTTTATTTGGTTAGTTCACTCATCTTTAACTCTTTGATTTCCAGAACTATTTCTGCTGTTGTGGCTCATCTACTTTCATCTCTTGATTTTGTATTGCTTCTTGTAATTTCGCTTCTAAGCTTGCTTCAGCTGTGACCTCGTCTTGTTTCTTGTTGTTATCTGTTGTCATGTTCACAGAACTATTCGATGGTGTTTGTTGGACGTTTGTAACATTATCGTAAGAAGAGTTCTTAGATGTTCCATTAATGATACCATTTTGTGTGGGTGGATCTTGTTCCATATTAGCAGCCTCTGTGTTAACTTTTTCTTCATTTTGTGATTTGAAAGCTTCATTTTTGGCATCTAAAAGTGATATGAGGCTATTTATGCATTTAATTGCTTCTCTTCTAGCATTTTTTATATTTTCTTTTCCTTCAGCGTCAATGTCATCAAGTTTAAGTAAGTTTTGAGTTAACATTTCATCGAGAAATGCATACTCTTTACGATTATTTCCGTCGTACTTTTCAACACGAGACATAAGCTCAAGAACAGATGACTGGATTTTTTGAATCTTTGTAATTGAGTCTTCAATTGCCTTCTGTTGTGCTGGTATGGGCTGCTCAACAGGAGGAGACGGTTGATGTACACCTTGAGTTGGTGTTTGCTGCCTTTGTGGTGTCGATGCACGTTTAGGTTCATATTGGTGTTGGACTGGAACAGAACGTTCTTGATTTTGAGACGTGGGTTGTCTTTGAGGACCAGCTGGAGTTGGTGCTGGTGATCCTCGTGATTGATGTTGATTCTGGTGTGATGGTTGGTGATGTACATTAATTGGTGATTCACTGCGTCGATGAGGACTAGCTGAACGCATGTTGAAGAAGTCACGCACTGGAAAATCTTTTGCACGATCAAAGATTGATGATGACGGCATGGGCATGTCTTGTCCGAATCCCATGTCACCACCAAATCCCATTGGCGCACGGCCAAAATTATGATGATTTTGAAAAGGTCCACTTGATGATTCAGCGGATGCAAATGCGGAGGTGTTATTGTTTTGTGGTGGTGCATTTACGTTTGGTGGAACATTTCCTGATGTTGTTTGACTATCATGTCCAGTATTTATTACGGGCTCATCGCGTCCCTCAACAAAAATTGGGATGTGACGAACTTTTTGACTATTATCCATCGTTTCAAACTTTTTTTCCTCTCCTAAGTATTTTCTTCTTAAGTTGCCTACAAAATTTAGGAATTTTTAATATTTCACGATTTATTTGCACTTTTTGTACTTCAATTCTTTAAGAAAACAATTCTAGCGTCTTATTCACACTTTTTCTAGTTTCGCTCTGCGCTTCACGATGATTAATAATTTTTTAAAGACTTTTGTCGAACTTTCTTCAACAATCGAGAATATTACACTGAAAGCAAAAATATTTAAAAAACTTTCTCGAAGGTTCATATAAATTTGTGTGGAGGAGAGAAATAAAAACTTCTGAACAGCTCCGAATATTTGAGTATGATCAGAAAAAGTAGGAATTTCGTTTTGTTTTCGTTCAAATTTGAATATTTTTTAACTGTTACAATTATGGAATTAGGAAAATGAGTCACCCTGCTACTTAAGAAGCAATCTGTAAAAACAACAAAAAGTAAAAAGTGTTGCTTGATCAGTCAATTCGTCAACTCATCATAAATTTTTAAAATTATTAAAAGAAAAACTATGATTTTATCTGTTGTTTTACCAGCAGCTGCTGCAGCTGGCATCTATTTGATAAGGAAACAACGAGAATACGCCTGGGGTATGTTTTGACCTTACCATATGTTTCCAAATAAGTGATATTTAATATTGTTTAATTTTTTTTATTTACTTAAGGATGGGTTAGAAACACCGGATCATTGAGAGGAAAAGTCTTTATTGTAACTGGCGCTAACACTGGTCTTGGATATGAAACAACAAAAGCACTTGCAGCAAGAGGAGCTACTGTTATTATGGCTTGCCGGAACATGGATAAAGCAAAAGAAGCTATTGAGAAGATACGATTAGAAACTAAGGAAGGAGAACTGATCCCGTTAGAACTCGATCTTGCTAGCTTTGACTCCATTCGTAAGTTTGCCAACGTCATCAAGGAAACTTATCCCGTATTTGATTGTCTCATCAATAATGCTGGTCTCGCTGTCCAAACCAAACAAACAACGAAAGAAGGAATCGAACTTCACTGTGGCACAAATCACATTGGACCTTTTCTCTTAACAAATCTTTTATTGGAAAATATAAAGAAGAACAATTCTCGTGTTGTTGTTGTTTCATCAAAAATGCATGAACGAGCAACAATTGATTTTGAAAACTTTGGAAAGTTCACTGAAAAACCAAGCGGCGAAAGATCAAATCATCTTTACAACAATTCTAAGTTAATGAACTTTTACTTTGCGAAGGAATTGTTTAAGAAAGGTATCGATGTGCATGTCTGTTGTCCAGGATTATGCAACACTGACTTCTTTCGCGATTACGATCCAAAATTCTATCATTACATTCTCTTCTCTCCTGTCATTCTTTTCTTTCTACGTTCACCAGAACAAGGATCACAAAATATTATTCACTGTGCTACAGATAATGTCAACAGTGATGACATGAATCCAGATAAATCTTATATCGTCGTGAATATTCAACAAACAAAATCCAAAATTAATTTGAGTGATGAAATATCCGAGAAATTGTGGGCGGAAAGCGCGAAACTGTGCGGAATCAATTAAATTTATTGAAATTCATCATCACTAATCTTTCTAACTATCTTTATATGGTTGTGCGCAATTAAATAAATATTATTACTCAATATGGATCAAAATACTTTAATAGACGATTATGAACACTTAAACAATGACATTGAATATGTTCTGGAAAATATTTTACAAGAAGACGATGATAGTGAAGAATTTAGAGAACTCAAAGACATGTACAACTCGAATATTATAAAATCATGTGAATGTGTCGAGGAAAATTGTGAAAATTGTTGTCATGGTGGAAATTACGTTGTGAAAAATGATCAAATAATTTTAAATGAAAGTCGACCATGTCAAGATTTAATTTATGAATGTCACGAATTATGTAAGTGTTTTGCTTGTAATAACAGATTAGTACAATTCGGTCCCAGACTTGGCTTGAAGATACAAAACTTTGAGTCAAAGGGACTTGGTTTAGTTTCAACGAAAGACATTTCTAAAGGATCTTTCATTTGTGAATATGCTGGAGAAATTTTAACAAAATCTGAAGCGATAAAGCGAGATCAACAGAACATGATCAACAAAAGAATGAATTTCATTTTCTGTCTCAATGAAATCGCTTCGTCAGGAGCTTCAAATGAAAAGATCCAAACATTTATCGATCCCAGCATGAAAGGAAATATCGGTCGTTATATAAATCATAGTTGTGATGCTAATTCTGATTTAATCAGTACACGTATCGATTGCATCATCCCTAAAATAGCAATTTTCGCTAATCGCGACATTCCTTCAATGACTGAAATTACTTTCAATTACGGGACATGTGGAAATGAATTTACACCAAAAGGAATGACAAAACCATGTTATTGTAAATCCATTAATTGTAATCTTGTCTTGCCTAACTTTTCGTTTTAATTGAAGTAGATATTTAAATAAAATTATTTTCTCTATTTAAAAACGTTTGCATTATAGTTTTGGAGTCTTTTATTTCCATTTCGTGAAATAGAACATTTAGAACTTTTCTATCGAATGAATTTTAATTTGAACAATACTGAATAGTAATTACCATAAAATGTTTAAGAAGAATTTGTCATTATTTATTCTTCGAAGTCTTAATCATCAATCATGTTCTTATAAAGAATTAAGCGATTTCAATTTAATCCAATAACCTTTTTCAGCGCCAACAGTCATCATTGACTTCTTGTATTGCAAAGGAATTTGTGTTTTCTCACTAACATCGAAACTGAAGTTGAGTAACATTTTGTATAGAATTGTTTTAACAATCATCAATGCAAATCGTGAGCCGATACAATTGCGTGGTCCGATACCAAATGGAGCAAAAGCATTTAAGTTTTGTTTTCCGATATTTTCGTCGTTGAATCTTTCGGGATCAAATTTTAGTGGGTCAGGGAAATTCTTTGGATCTCGATGCCATCCGTGAGCAGGAATTAAAACTGAATGATGTTTAGGAATGGTGATAGTTTTACCATCAAGATCGAAGGTGAAGTCACGAACACTATATCGTTCAATGCCAGGTGATGGTGACCATTTACGAAGAACTTCAGTCACGAAGTGATCGAGATATTTCATCTTCAGAAGTTCTTCATACGACAATTCCCTGCCATAGAGAGAAGCTTCCATATCTTGGATTTCTTGTCGAAGCTTTTCTTGAATTTCCGAATTGACTGCTAATTCATATGCTGAGAAAGCAAGAGTTGTACTTGTCGTATCAAAACCTGCTAAGAAGAACAAAAGACATTGAGCGACAAGTTCGTCACTTTTCCATGTTGTCGTTTCGACTGATTTTCCGATTTCAGATTCTTCAACTTCTGCTATGCTTTGCGAAGGTTTTTCAGCGTTTGTTGCTTCGAATTTAATTTGACCTTTCTTGGCTTGAAGTAAAAGTTGAATCATATCGGGACGTACGATGCCGTTGTTTTCACGATAGTTCATCGTTTCACTCACAGTATCTCGGAAGAATTTCTTAGTATGACGAGAAAGAAGGGAAATGTCAAGAAGCTTCATGACTTTCGGAATAAAATAAAGGAAAATAAATTTGAATACGATTGCGAAGCCACTTGGATTCATCGTTTCATTAGCAATTTTTTTGAAATCATTTTCAGGGTTTTTAAAAGTGTCGACTTCTAATCCAAATGCACAAGATGCAATGATGTCAACTGTGAACTTTGAGAAGAACTCTTTCATCTCGTAATCGTCATTTTCTTTTTCCTTCATATTACTTTTAGCAGATTTGATTGCCGCATCTGTTGTTTCAACTACCAACTTAAGCATTAAACGCATTTTACTTCCAGTGAACGCGGGACTCAAAGTCGCTCGCATTTTCCTCCATTTATCGCCTGATAATGACAATAATGCGTTACCCAATAATGGATCTACATCTTCACTCATCGTATAAAGATGATCTGTGAAAGAATCAAATTCTTTGATACAAATTAATTTCGCCAATTCAGGATCACGAATGAGAAAGAACGGAGTTCGGAAATCAAATAATCCAATGAGTCTAAAAATAAATGAAATGAAATAATTTTGGAATTTGAAGATTACGTCAATCGTGCTTACTTTTCATTCGGAAATTCTTTATACCACTTTTCAACATATTCGGGCAGTGCAAGCTTCTGCAAAAGTAAATCTTTCCCTGTACCGAATAAAATGATCGGCTTGCCATGAGCGATGTTCCTGATCTTGAAATAATTGTAATTTTTCGTCAACCATCTTTCAAGCAGATAACCGAAAACAAGTAGAAGCGTGAAGAGAATCCACATGTTGATGTCTTGCTTCCTTCAATTTGACTGATATTTTTGAACAAATCTACAGTATTTTTATTCTGTATTGATAAGCCTAAACGTTATCTTAACTGATATCGAATTCATGAGTGAACGTGCTTAGTATTCATCGGCAACTGAAGTCACATGGTGATTGAATAAAAGAAAATTTTGAGTATAACTTACAAACCACAATTTTGTGAGAATTTTCTGAGAGAATTCTTGTTTTTAATGAGAAATAAAAACATTTGTGTGTGATTCATAATTTTATCTAACATATATCTCCAATGTTTATGTTCTTGTTTTCAGAAATGTTCGACCTTGAAACTAATTTTGCGGCAGAAACAAAAACAGAACATTTGATGGAAAACTTTGTTTATATTGTGAAATGAAATTCAAAGAAATTATTAGGATGAAGCGACTTAAAAATATTTAATGTATAGATCATTAAACTCTTCACGTGCTTAACTGATTTTCTGACAATCAGTGATGAACATTGAACTTGATTTATTTAATAAAAAAATATTTCACAGCTACAGGAAAAACTTTTTCTGTTTTTTAAAATCGTAATTGTTATGAAAATCACATCGTCCAATCGTTCATAAACAAAACAAAAACGTGATTCTGATTAACCATGAACTAGTCGAGTGCAAAAATTTTGTTTGATTCTATAAATAAATTTTATTTCATCATATTTTATGATAATTTCTCTCACTAGGGAATATAAAGTTTCAATGATTTCTTGAATAAGTGAAAATTTTATGAACCTCTTGGCTTTAATCCAATCCAGAAGCCATTTATGGGTTTCATTGCGAAAGGAACTTTCTCGTATTCAAAAGGAATTGTTGTCTTCGAGATGACTTCGAAACTGAAGTTTAACAAGAGATAGAAGAAAATCGTTTTAAGTTCCATCAAAGCAAATCGACTTCCGATGCAGTTCCTCGGTCCAATACCGAAAGGCAAGAAAGCGTCTGGATTGATTTGACTTCGATTTTCGGGACTGAAACGACCAGGATTGAACTTGTCTGGTTCAGGATAATATTCAGGGTCATGATGGATGCAATAAACCGGAATGAAGAAGTTCATAAGATTGTTAAAACGAAGTGACTTTCCATCATAATCCAAAACATAATCTTTCGTGCATGCTCTCTCTAATAGCTTCGAGTTGAATTAAAAGAAAATATTTCATTAAATTTATGAATATTAATCTAGTATTTAAAATCTTACAGGTGCAATTGGCCATTTTCTCAATGTTTCTGTCACAACCTGATCTAAATATTGCATGCCTTGCAACTTCTCGTAAGTGATCTTCTTTCCTGCAAGTTCATCGTTCATTGCAACAATTTCTTCATAAAGCCTTTCTTGAATGTCAGGATTGCAAGTGAGTTCGTAAGCCATGAAACTCATCGTTGTAGCAACCTATTAGAATCAAATCATGAAAATTATCTTTCAAAACATCAAAGTGGGAACTTACCGTGTCGAAACCAGCAAAGAAGAACAGAATACATTGCGCTACAAAGTCATCATCTTCCCATTTTCTTTTTACTTCTGTCTTTCCGATGTTTGATTCTTCAACAGTTGCAAAGCCTTCAATTGTCTTCTCTTCAACGTTATTATTATTATTATTGTGTGTAAGTTTTCCTTTCTTAGCCTCCATTAAAAGATTGATCATATCATGTCGAATAATTCCTTTGGCTTCACGAACTTTCATTGTTTCAAGTGTTGCCTCTCGGAAAAAGTCGGTGATATCTTTATCAATAAATGTAATGTTAAGCATCTTCATAAGTTTTGGGGAAATCATGTATCCGAAGAATTTGAGTATTTGAAGAGTTGACTGAAGATTTGTAACTCTTGTTGCAGAATCATAGAATTTATTTCCTGGATTATTGAAAGAGTTGACTTCAATTCCAAAAGCACACGATGCGATGACATCGACGGTGAATTTCATGGCAAGAGCTTTAAATTCAAATTCGTTATTTCCACCCTTTTCAATATCTTGTTTCATTGCCAATGCAGTTTGCTGGCCCACAGTACTGACGAAATCAAACATTTGTCTCATTTTACTGCCTGTAAAAGCTGGGCTGAGTGTGGCACGCATATCTGATAAGATAACATTTTGTAATTTATTTTTAAAATTGAAACTTGACGTCGTCATCCGATTCTAAATACCTTTCCACTTTTGTCCCTCTAAAGCTGTCAAAAGTTTTGTCATCATGGGATCAACTTCTTCTTTAACAACTGCGCGATGATCCATAAAGTAATCGAAATCTTTCACTGTAAGTTGTTTGATAATTTTCAGATCAGTAAGAACGACTGCCGGACGTCTGAATTCGAAATATCCATAAAGTCTAAAAAATATTAAACATATAAATTGACATTTTCTTAAAATTTTCACAAGAGTTTTCTCACTTTTCCTTTTTGTATGTTTGGTAATTATCCAATAATAGTTTATTGAAAGGTTGTTTCTTAAAAAATGACGAAAAATTTGAACCCAATAAAGGAAATGCTTTTTTGTAAGGAACTCCTTGCCTCTCAAAATAATCATAATGTTTTGTAGCCCACTTGTAAAAGAAATACAAGGCAACTGGTATGAAGTAAAGTAATAAACTTATCATTTTTTATTTGAAATATTTTTGTAGCTTTGTGTTAACTCAAGTGAACGTCAAGTGATACTGAGACCGGCATGTGAAGAGAGCGAATTTATATTTTGCCAAAATATAATCTCCGAGATATCTTTACCATTTATTTAATCACAGTTCCTTATCAAATGTAATCAGTTAATTGATAAAATGCGACACTCGTCAATATTTTAATCAATATTGACTCATAAATAAAGTAATGCCTACTTATCAACCTTACTGAGTAACTCATGATTTTGATGTTTACGTCTGATATAAAACTTACTCTTTCATTATTTAGCAGAAATGTTTTCACTCTTTGGATATTTATTTTAATTGTGTTTGTTTGTTTACTCTGCACTGGGTCGCTTTACAACAAATCTTATTAACTTCAGAATTATTGTTACACTTTACAAGTTCAACATAAATGATCACTTGAATTTTTTTTACTTTATCAGAAATGTTTATTATTTATTAAATATGAAAGCTTTACCTTTACTGCATGATATCTAAAGTTGCAAGGAGAGGCTGATTGATTGATTGATTGATTATTTATTTATTATTTACCACAATGCCAATGCAATGGTATTATTTATTGTTTTTCTTTTCTTTTCAACACATTATATTAGTTAGTAAATTAAATGAAACATTCTCAAACTCCAATGGAATTTGAGTCTTTGAAGTTACTGCAAGACTGAAGTTCATCAATAAATAGTAAAAGAAAACTTTTCATATCCATCAAACCGAATCGACTTCTTATGCAACTTCTTAGATTTAATTCTGTAAAAAATTTCAATAAATAGATTTAAGTGTCAGTAAGTAAAAATGACTTTAATCATTTAAAAATTCAAAATATTTATTATCCTTTTCGATATGTGCAACAAAAACTTTTACTTATTTACATAAAAATAGATCTTCTAGTCGTTAGAAATTACGAAATAAAATTAAAGTGGATAAAAGTTGACGATCATAAAAAGAAAGAAAAGTACAAAACGTGTTCTTGATTGCATTCTCAATATTATTGAAAACCTGCAACAAAATAAGGAAAACTTTGAAGAATTTGAATTTTAAGTTCAATCAGTGATTAGAAATTGATCGCCAAATTTGATTTCTATGAAGGTATTGCCAAAGTACGCCACTTTATTCATAACCATTGTTTTGTGCACTCATCAAAAAAGAAATTTATAATAAAATCATTTATAATTAATAAAAGAAATGTTTGAAAAATTCGCTTACTAATTAATTCTATTTAAAAAACAATTGATTTTGCAAAAAGTGCAGCCAATGCTTGAGTCTTATCTCCGTTAAATTTTCTCAGTTCTTCAATCACATTCGGTCGTGTGAAGCCATTCTTCATGAGTTCCGTTACGTCACTTTCGGTGAACTTATCACTTGGTAAGACTCGATTTTTATTGTCAGTCGTAGGATTTGATGTGATTGTTGATGTTGATGGAGACGGACCACTTGGTGTCGCACCTGACTCTTTAGCACTTTTCTCGAGAGCGGCTTTTATCTCTAATTCTTCTGTTAATTTGGCAGACTCTTCTAAAGCTCGTTTCTCTTCCTCGGGACTTCCAGTTAATCGGGCACAATCAGGAAGCTCAGCTTCTGTGAGAAATGGTGTTGTGCTTCCAGTCGTTCCAATCAACAACATATTGTTCTTCAGGTCAATTGAGCATTGATGACGTTTAAGCATGTCGAGTCCAAGCAACATATCCATTGGTTGCTGCTCCAAAACTGAGAAGCTTGAAGTGAGATAATCGTTTTCAATCTGAATCTGAACCATATGAATTCTGCCAATGATTCTTTGAACACCAACACCTTTTGCTATTCCAGCCCATCGTGTATCAACTAACCGCATTATATTGCATCTTTCAGCAGCTGCTGAACTCATAATTGTAGCTTGAGCGCCACTGTCAATGAAAGCTTTCACTGGATGGCCGTTGACCTTACAGTTTATGTATAACATGATAACAGTCCCGAAAGTCTCTGGATTATATTCAATTGCAGCTTCCATATTGGCCTCAATATTTTTCTTACGAATTTCTTCAGCAATCAAACGCTGAGCTTCTGAATCAAAAGGACTTGCTGACATGAGTTTCATTTTTTGTTGCTCTGCCTGTTGCTTCTCAGCAAATTGACGACGAAGTACTGTTGCGAAATTATCTAAGAAATAAATTTAATAATAAATTAATAATTGTTAATGATTTATTGATTTGTCTCACCTAATGAACCAGAAAGCACAGCATCAGCTAATGCTGGATTGTTCTGTTGAAGAAGAGCTAACTGATCAGGATTGGCAAGAAGCATGTCCCGAATCATTGCTGGATCATCTCTCATGCCAACAGAAAGAGGTGGTGCACGACTTGGAGTTGATGGACCGGATTGAGGCACTTGAATACCTGAGAAATCTAATCCAGAGAAAGGCTGAGTTCCTAAAAACATTTCATGAATTATTTAAAATTAATTAAATTATGCAAAATTCTTACTTCCTCCACTACTGGGATCTTGAGTGCTCCTATTAGTTACCGCTGAAATGTGTTGCAAGCTAACAAGATCACCATCTTTCAGTCCGTAGCTGTTCAGACCTTTCTTGTTATCAGTGAGCGGTCGATTATTATGTAAAATCACAATCTCATTTGCTGGAAGTAGATTTGCATTAAAAAAAAAAGAAAATCATTGACCTTTCGACTCAAAATATTCGTGGGCTGCATTTATTTATAATTCATCAAAAGTTTATTTACCTGGCAAACCTGACTCAACCTCGCAGAATGCTTTAAAATTTTCCAATTCGAGATCTTCAGGAACTTCCAACGTAAATGTCAAATCAGCGAGTGTTGTCACTGTAATCCTCATGATGTTAAATATTTTATATTTTATAGTAAATTCAGGAAAAGGATGATTGAATTCTTTTGTTGATCAGTGATTCTGCAATTTCAAAAGTTACTTTCTGTTTAACATAATGTTCGGCACCATCAAAATATACAAACAATGCGCAATATAAGCGAGAATTAACTTTCAAATATTTATTGACGGTTAAAATGTCTTCATTTACAATTGTGTGACAAAAAATCAACTTTCTTCAACGGATGAATTATAAGCTAGCATTAAACGCTTGCATCGACTTAAGCTCCCAATTGCTTGTATAAAATTGGGACATAATCGTCGTATTCCGCTTGATAAAAGTTGCCACCAACAAGTTCAAGTTTATAGATTTCAGCAAATTTCTGAATTTTAAAGCAGCCTCGGTTATCTGCTGAGCGATTAGTTAAACGAGGCTCAGTAAATGTAAGCTTTCCTGGTTGTTTATAAACCAAGAAAACATAGCGATGAAGTCCTGTATCGGGGGGTGGACCCGATCCAACATATTCACTCAAAACTTCTCCTTTTTCAATTGCCTTTCCAGGAATGTTGCCAACCAACCTTCGAAAAATGAAAATAGAAGTTAATTCATTTAATTAAAATAAATTAGATAATATTATGTTACCAATGATGCCACTCGCGATATTCATGAGTTTTTCGGGATGGCGCATCTAGAGAATTACATAACTTGTTTATTAGTAAACAAAATCATCACAAATATTTAGAATTGAAGAATATTTCTTATCTGATAATTGATAATAAAAAGCTTCTCAAGAATTACCTGGATCAGTCATGCAAAGAGCGTAATAAGAATTCGGATCAGCATCCCATTCTACTTTAGGTTGATCTTTGACCTGTGTTGGAGTCAAAACATTGCCTAATGCGGGACTGACTAAATAAACAAAACAAAGATATAAAGTTTCACAACAGAAATTTGATATAAAATAAATAAGAATAGAATTTTATTTAATAATGAAACACAATTTACCGCCGGAAGCATAATCCACTTTTACAATGTTTTTGGGAGCAACCGGGATGACATCAGGAACGATTTCATGTTTAGCAAATGGCATTCTGCGAACTGCTGTGATACTTAAATTTCTCTTGATATTAAATGCAAAATTACTGTTTAAAGTTGGCTTTAAAGTTCTAGAAATTATCCGAACCGGCAACATTATTTTACGAGAAACAAGTTTGAAGTTTCAGAGTTTCTCA